TCCGAGTTCTTTCCTCTATTTCCTTTTACTTTCCTCTTGTCCCACTATTATGTTCAGCCTTCATTTGGGTTTCAGTAATTCCTCTCTTTTACATTGTCCTTGATCAAGCCCTACCAGGCATCCTATGTCCTCCTCGCCATTGATTTTAGATCACTTGTTCTCTTGTCTCTGGGTTTGTTAACACCCACTTCCTTTCCCCCACCTCCCCAACTCCCATGTCCCCTGGAATCACTGGTCTGTTGCTTTCTCCTCCGGATTGTTTATCCTAACTATCTTATCTAGATAGATATGCAGCGGCAATAATAAGCACACACACACACACACACACACATGGACAGAGCAAAACAAAAGAAAACAAAACAACAGAAACAACAACAACAAAAGAAAAGCCTATAAACAGTTCAAGGGTATTTGTTGACCTTTAGGACTGTTTTCTGGTAAAGTCTGATGGGGTGCCACGCCCCAGCCCCAAAGTCTATTATTGGTATTCCCCCAGGGATTTCATTGCTGTGCTCCCCTTGCTGCTCTGTTGTATGCTCTTGAAGGGTTTTGCCCCGGAGTGGTGGGGTCAGATCGGGCACAATCCCCACACCGTGCCTCCAGTGTTATCCCTCGAAGTGCTCCAGGTCTATGAGGGATGTCCTGTCTTGTGGTGGGGCGGTCCTATGGTCCGCTCTGTGCATTGGCTGCTCTGAGCAGGAATATCGTCCTTGGGGCTTGTTGGGCCGGGATGTGCTCCACTCTGTCTCCTTGCCTCTTGGTTTGCTCCTGTGCCAGCACCATTTGTTAAGTAGACTCTTTTGTCCCCATTCACTGGGGTTTGGCCCTTTGTTGAAGATCACCTGTTGGGAGCCGGTGGCCATTAAGGCCTTAGCCTCAGCCACGGAGCCGAACTTGGCTGCTTCCTAGTTAAGTGTTGTCTTTCATTTGCTAAATCTGGGGAACTGGGCCTGCCTAAATTCCTGCCTCCGCGTTCCTAGCACGGGCAGTTGTAAAGTTGACCTTTTCACCCATTGGTTAATAATGCCAGGCGCTCATTGGACTAAGATGGACTTTGCTTTACACCTGATGGACCTTAATCTGCATGCAGGACGTCTTTGAGAACTAGCGCGCGCCCTTTTACCTACAGCTGATTGGTTAACGTTCTTATGCTTCATTAATGTACCTGTTGGATTGGATGTTGTGTCGCACACCTTATTAAAATATGCACCTCCCAGTTTCCCTTTTTTATACCCCAGCTTTGCCCAAATAAACGAGTTTGATCAGAGTTTTGTCTTGCTCCACGCCTCCGTGTCTTTTCTCCATCCAGGTTCGTCTTTCCCTGCAGGGCCTTGCTCGTGCGTCCCGCAGGCCGGGACGCAACAATCACCTGTCTATGGGTTCTGGGTTCTCAATTCTGATTCATGGGTCTATGTGTCCATTAATCTACCAGTAGCAGGACCAGTGCCAGGCTATTTTGACTACTCTGGTTGTAAGTAGGCTCTGAGATTCAGAAGCGTGAGACCTTCTACATAGTTCTTCCTTCAGTGGCGCTGTGCTTATCGGTGGTTTCTTTCCTTTGCATATAAAATCAGTGAATGCTTTTTTTTCATCTCTTACATCTAAAAATCACTTCTTATTACTTAGTATATTTTCATATTGACCACTTGGCTTCTTAAACCTTGTTGAATTTTGGTCATAGTCAGAGCTACAGATTTTTGCCACGAGGATGGGGAGGCGTGGCTAGCACATTTTTCTTCCCCCTTCTCAACAGGACTCATTTCCTGCATGCTCCATGATGACAGGGGACCAAGAGTCAAACCACCCCAGTTGAGCGAACAACTGCTGTGCAGCCCTACAGGCTACTCAAAGAGCATCACCCCTTCTAAACGTTCCTCTTTCCCCTCTCTCCCCATGAAGTCCTTAACAAGTTCTAAGCTACCTGAACATGTTCGACTGAGGAAAGGAAATGGTCACTTGACGCTTTGACCAACCTATTAAGTATGCACGGTCAGGAAAGCCCTCCCAGTGGCCACAGAGGGCAAAGGGCAGGACCCCGGCCCAGGACTCCACCTTCTGCAGTCTCCCCAAGTCCTGGCACAATCCCAATGTTTCCTCTCCACTGGTCAGGTGATCCTCTAAAGTCTGACTAGCACACAGTACTCACCCGGGAGCTGTGAGCCACCACGCTGGCCCCAAACCCAGACTTTCTTGTTTCTGTGGGCCTGAGTCATCATCACACATACGCTGTTTGTTCTCTCTAAGCTCCAGGGTGTGGATATTCTGGACCCAGGACAAATACTAGCTCCCGCCATACCCGAGTCCAACCTGTGGATCCCCTGAGGCACCTTTTCACCCACCCTTGTCCATCTGCGCTGGGTGGGTCTTTTCTACCCACCTTCAAAGCCCCGCCCTCAGCCCCACATGGGGCCTCTGCTCAGTGCAGTTGTGTCTTCTTCAGCAGTGTTCCTCTGCTCAGCATCTCCTGTACCACTTCTCTGCTGCTCTGAGCCAGAGCAATTCCCATCTTGGAAAAAACCATTCACTCATTCATCCAACGAATGCTAATGGACTCACGGGTCTAGACACTTGGTCGCCTACCAGGTCCCCACCCCAAACACAGCACTGACGAAGCCAGAACCTGCCAGAACTGGAAGGCGCTTCACATGTCATGTCATTTGAGGAGCGCTTTGGCAGGGTGATAAGTGTTTGCCAATAAACAGAATGCCAGTGGTGTGAAGGCATCAGCTGACAATCCCTGGGTGAAAGCTGTGGCGCTCTGCTGCCGTAAAGGTTTACCACCCTGCAAACCCTGTGGGGAAGTTCTACTCTGTCCTGTGGGGTGGACATGACTTGCAACTGACTCAGTGGCAGTGGCTTTCAAATCATCTGCCCCAGCTTATGAGTCAAAGGAAGCTGGGGCTGAGAACATGGCAGTCATCGGCTTATGATGGGCCTTGGGGTCAGGCACAGATCTTGGCACGTCCTGGTATACTGCCTGTACTATTCATTTGCAGAGCAGTGCTCTGTGCAACGCTGGGCAAGCCCCTTTACGTCTCTGGACCTCCACCCTCTGTTTTGCCAATTGGTGGAGTTGGATGAGAGGCCCTGACGTTGGACTCCTGGTTCTCCTCTCCTAGTGATCTTCAACACTCTGCGGCTCACAGTCTACTTTCCATGTGCGCGGTATCTCTTTGCAACTAGAACAGATGCTCCGGGGGCAGAGGTCACCCGTTATCCCCAGGCACCTAGTATTGTTAACCCTTTCACGTGCTTTAAGTTGACTGAATCAGAGCTCATACTACCTTTAAAAACAAACAGACAAAAACAGAAGGCCCAAAGAGGCTATTATTTTAATGCAAGGCATCATTGTCATAAACCAGCCACACCAAAGCCCTACCCACAGGAAACCCTGAATGCAGAATGCTGACTGCCCTTTGATGAAAAGAACGGCAGCACCCTACTGTGCGAGGGTTGATTTTCTCTGATACCGTCTCTAAGTATCCGCTTCCATGCGTGAGTGTCTGCCCTGGCAGGACTGAGTCTTAGTTAAGAACCTGGGCTTCCTTACATTAATGAATCCAAGTGGTTTTCCATTTCTTTAAGTGAGTTTGCACTGACTGCACTTCAAATATCCCACCAGGGAATCAGGCTCAGTTAACACACTCACCCGCTGGCTGGCTGTGGGCAAGCTCATCAGAATTTGTGCCTCCGTTTTCGACCTCAGAGTGGGGGTGAAACGCGCCAGGGGGAGAAGTGCCCAGAGCAGTACCCCCAAACCCGACCCAGTGCCACCGAGTCCATGCTGATGCCTAGCCACCCTACAGGGCAGGGGAGAACTGCCCCAGGGGGTTCCGAGGCTCCAACTCTTTACAGGAGTAGAAAATCTCATCTCTGTCCCCTGGAGCAGCCGGTGGGTTTGAACTGCTCACCTTGTGGTTAGCAGCCCAATGTGCAACCACCACTCCACGAAGGCTCCTGTATCCCCACACATATAAATTAACACTTACAAGGGGGCCGCACTTGGGAATGAAAGTATAACTGGAGCTGTTGACACCCTCATGACTTCCAAACAGTTCCCCTGGAGGGGACGGAGGCTGCAGCTAAATAACTTGTAGGAAGATGTATGCTATACACGTACTCAGACACAGCGGGCAATGTTCCCCATGGAGTATGGAAAGGATTCCCCCTGGCTGGGCACGAAAAGAAGGGAGGTAACTGCGAGGATGGAGAGCGACAGGAATTACTCAAGCCACACAGCTGAGGTGTGGAAACCATCTGGGTCTGACTAGTCTTCCGTACGCAGTCAGATACAGAGGACGCTTCACATGCCTGCTAATGGGGGAAATCCGTGGAGGATGAAGGAATTGTAAGGATTAGAATAATGTGCATGCTGATAACCAGTCCTGAATCATCGAGACTTCCTAGCATTATCGACAAGGGGAGGGGGCATCTAAGGACTTGTGTTCCTTCCTGATCCCTATTCTGTTCTCAAGCCAGGAGCATCCATGACCTGGAAAGATCAGGAAGGGATGGGAACATCCTCAGCTCAATATCCTTTCTCCGCCCCCTTTCTTGCTAGTGGGTCCCCGAAGGGACTGTTGCTGGGCACTGTGTGAGTTCTACCACCAAAAGCTGTCTACCCATCTATTCAGCACATGTTAACGGACGGTCCTTGTGTGCCTGACATCCTTATGACCTTAAGGAGTCCAGGGGTCTCAGAGCCTGGTTTACAAACCAAAGAGACCACTGCTTTTTAACTCTCTTGTCTCCTACCTGCCTTGGTGCTCGAGCCCACCATCACTTCCTAAACATTATGCTGACCTTGAAGATGCCTTCCTCAAGTCCGGAATTCAGCCAGGAATCTGGGCCTCGGTCATCCATTCATGCACGAGGTCATCTCGTTGGCCAAACCAAACCAATCCAAACCAAACCAAACCAAACCAAACCCCAGCTACTTGGGAACTCAGGTGCCGAACGGGGTGGAGTCAGCACAGGAGGAACTCAGGGGCCTCACTCACCACACAGTCGTCAATGATCTCCGCGAGGCGTGTCCGGTGTTTCCGTCCTAACCGCATGATCTTTTTCCACGTGTAGTAGTACTCCACACACTGAGCCACTGTCTTGGACTTCACCTGCCGGGAAAGTGAGCTCCAGGTTAGCTCCAGCCCTGGGGTGTGTGCAGAGCGGCGCACTTGTCCGAGAATAATACAATGGTCTAAGACACAGGTTCTCAACCTGGGGGTCGTGACCCCTTGGGAGGTCAAACGACCCTTTCACAGGGGTCACCCGAGACCATCGGAAAACACATATTTCCTATGGTCTTAGGGACCGGGACACAGCTCCTCTATCCATCTCCGCCCACATGCAGAGACACCCACCTAAAAGTACCCGGCATGAAGACTGTTACCCATGCTACACCATGCTTCAAGACATTTCATTGGTTTGTCATTAGAAATAAATATTTCATAAGATATAATTACATATTGTTTTTGTGATTCATCACTATGGTTTAATGATGCTCAATTTGTAACAATGAAAATACATCCTGCATATCAGATATTGACATGACGATTCATAACAGTAGCAAAATGACAGTTATGTAGTAGCAACGAAAATAATGTTATGGTTGGGGGTCACTACCACACGAGGAACTGTATGAAAGGGTCTCAGCATTTGGAAGGTTGAGAACCGCTGGTCTAATAGATAATACATTTATGCAATTCAATAAAAGACAGGTACAGCGGAGAGTCCCCTTGCTTCCCCCTCGCCCTCCCCCCATTCTTACTCCCATCCTGCAACATGAAGAGCCTGTTGTGAATTTTGTGGGCATCGTCCCAGAATTTCTCTGTGCACATCCGCACAAACACGAACATCGATGCCTCCACCCCCATCCTTCTTCCCAAAGGTAGCAATAGCTACATAGCATCTCAACCCGCTTGGAGAAGGATATGCTTGGTAAAGCAGAAGGTAAACTAAGAGAGAAAACCCCACCAGGAGGTTGGCCGACACAGTGGCTCCGCCAATGGCTCAAACAGAGCACGGAGCGTGAGGCTGGCACAGGACCGGGCAGGGTTTCCGTTGGGTCGACACAGGGTTGCTGTGGTCAGAACTGACTCCGTGGGGCCTAACCGCCGTGACGCTGCTTGGAGATTCTTCCGTATCAGTATAGAAGGCGCTTACTCATGTTGTTCACCCACAGAGCAGCAGGTTCTTAAATGCATTAGCTTACCAGCTCATAGACCTTCAACATCTTATGAAAAATGTTCCCTACCAATCAAACAAGGCTATAAATAGTTAAGATGTAAGAGCTTAATTTTTGCGGACATCAAGGCTTGCCTGGTTCCCTCCCAAAGAGGAAAAGGTATGTGTATTTTGATGAGAAAAAAAATCCTTTGTGTAGCTCCTGTGTTAGGATGGCGAGGGAGGAATAGCTTTTTGTGCGCCTGTGATGTACCTCTGAGGCTGCTTTATGTGGGCTCGGGGCTGCAGACCAAAGATGGGCTTTAACCTTGGGGGCCAGGCAGGAAACACAGTCACCTACTTGGTGAGATGGAAAGGCTCCCCCAGAAGTCCTGTGTGCTCAAAGTTGCCCTGCCACATCCACCTGACACCTGGAGTTTCTACAGGTGAATCTCCCCAGCAAGGGAGGGCCCTCATCTACAATGCCCGGGTTTAAAACCTGTGTCTCCTGGGACGTACTATCCACAAATCTACAGTCAATCAAAGAGGTGCCTGGCCAGCCAGGAAGAGGCCTGGGATAGGCCAGTCCTGGGCTGGGTGACTCAGGAAAGGTAGAGCCTAGAGCTCCTGGGCCTGTGGGGAGCAGAGGGCATGTTGGCCACAGAAGCAGGAGAGGTCACAGCAACGCAACCAGAGGCCAGAGGCCAGGCAAAGATGATTCCCATCTATTTCTGGTTTTCATCTGGGCAAGGCCCTAGATTAAGAGCAGGACACATGCCACTCTCGCACAGTCCTGAGGGCCAGCTGGACTGCCTGGAACCAGCGGGGGCTGTCATCTGTGACCCTGCTCCCCATGAGCCTGAACAACCTTAACAGCCCTTAAAAACACATTTTGGTGCTATTAGTCATTGGCTTGTGGAAACGCTCTCAGAATCCTTTTAACTTTCTGCCCTAAGCCATCTGTCTCTCAGCCAGTTAAGTCCTATGAAGTCAATCACCTGCAATACACAAAGCTATTCCATGTGTGTGAAAGGCCTTGTATTGCCGTGAAAGGCTGTACCTGGGAGGTGTTATTATTACTATTACTGGTGTTATGAGTGGGAGCGAACCCCAGACACTCTGCTACTGGATTGAGATGGGAGGGGCATGGTGGGATGCGTCCTGCCCCGCCCCTTAATTTCCTAGAAGAGAATTCTAGCTGGCAGATACATGACAGATTCGTCAGATACCCGTGAAATAAGGCATGTAAATGATGCACCAGAAGTCCCAGTTCTATGTATTCAGAGGAAATGTATACATTGCTCATTGTCATGTCCAAGTCATTCGGTCTTTTCCATCCTTTCCTCTCCCCACGCCCCTACACTGGGCTCCTAGCATCCCGCAAACAACTGTCACCCTCTAGAGCGCCGCAAGGGTTCAAAGAAGCCCGTTTGTGTAAGGGCTCCCGTCGAGCCCGTTAGCAGCTATGTTCAACTGTTTCTACAGAAGCAGTTTTCATCCTAAAAACCTACAATCTCCCCAATACGATCTCGAGCGACAGTGAGGAGCGACGGGAGCCTTACCATCTTCTGTATGAAAATGAAGTCTTTGCTGTAAGTGGCTAGTGCTTTGTTAAACAGCTTTCTTTCTAGAGATGTCCATTTGTCCGAACCTGTGAGGAAACACAAACTTCGTAAGGACGGCCTGCAATTCTTCCCACCTCTGGCCGTGCTTCACTGCGGTTACAAAGCACGAGTGTTTGGCAAGTAATATACATACTAGACTATTGGTTTAACGACAACAGCAGCAACCAATCAGTGTAGTGTCACAGCCCTGACTACCGGAGTTCAAATCCCAACCCTGACTTGGTGACTTAGCCCAAGACTCCGCTCTGTCATCTACAAATGGGAATCAGTATACAGCAGTGCCTTAGGACCCATGGGGGATTGGATCGTGAACCCTAATGTCCACCCCCACAGATATCCAAACTCCAAGGTTGCTCCAATCCTTTGTATAAAGGATCACTGTATTTGCATATGACCCAGGCACATCCTCCGATGTATTTTCCTATCATCTCTACATTACCTATACCACCTCCCCAAACTCAAAGTCACTGCCATCCAGGTCATGCTAGCTCATGGCAACCGCATAGGGCAGGGTAGAACTGCCCCTGGGTTTCCAAGACTGTAACTTGCAATGGGAGTAGAAAGTCTCATTTTCCTGCCGAGAAGTGGCTGGTGGTTTCACACTGCTGACCTTGTGGTTCACAGGACAGTGTGTAACTCATGACACCACAAGGCCAAGTGGACCTACACCACCTAGTCCCGTGTAAATACCATGTTATACTCCCTCTTGAGCCTTTGAGAGATTGCTCTGACCACTTGATGGCATTAACTTTTCACCCCTGAATATGTTCCATCTGCAGTTGGTTGAATCAGGGATGAATTTGCCTGTCGGTAAGGAGGGCCAACTCCAAGTGACCTTAGCTTCTCAGACTGCTGTGAGAGTCAGAGACAGGAATGCATGTGGCACGCCCAGCGCAGAGATCAAGCAATAGCACCCAACCTATTTGAGTTTTTCGGTGATTACTACGCTCACGAAGGTCTGTGCATAGCAGACCGGTTCCTTTCCCCACTCAAGACCCTCAGACGACAGGGGAGACAAGCCCTGAGCTCATCACCTGCAAGATGAGACTGCAATGACAGAGGTCAAGGGCACGTGCCAATAAGGCACAGAGGAGGGACACACGTGTCCAGCAGCCAGGGAAGAGCTGAGTTCTAAAGGCCACAGAGATGCAAGTCATAGGCAAGAGTGAGCTGACGCACTTCATTAATGAGTGAACTAATTAGTTCATTCATTTTCCAGCAAGGCACTGTGCTCAAACCAAACCAAACACACTGTTACCAAGTCGATGGTGATTCATGGCAAGCCCATAGGGCAGAACGGGACGGCCCTCGTGGGTTTCTGAGACCAAATCTTTACGGGAGCAAAGCCTTATCTTTCTCCCAAGGAGTGACCGGAGGTTTCAAACTTACAGCCTTGCTGTTGGCAGCCCAACTCGTAGCTCAGGACACCACCAAGGCTGCACAGATACTTTGCTAGGGTTGAAGGGGTGGGGGCTAAAAAGAGCTAATGGTTGCAAATGCTTACTATACGTTCAATTCTAAATACTTTATGGGCATTAATCATTTCGTTCTACCAGCACTCCTGTAAGACTGCTATCACGAGGATCCCCTTCTACGGATGGAGAGTGGAGGTGTTTAGAGGAAGCACAGAGGAAGCTGAACGGTAAGGCCAGTCCTTGAATGGAGGTGAGGAGAGGCTCTACAGTGTTGGCTGGTGCTTCTGCTTGACTGGTCAGCCTGACAGCCATGTCCTTTTCCTCATAAAAGAGAAGGCAGAGCATGCGGCTAGCCACACGGAGTGGTTCTGGACTGTCTGGGACAGGAAAGGAGGAGATCTCGTTCTCAGGAGTGGCCCCATGCACAGCTGTGGGGCTTCCAGGGAGAGCTCAATCATGTAGTTGGCCGACAAAAACCCAGTCCCATCTCCTGGCATTTGGAGTCCTCCATGTCGCTGAGCCTTTGTGGGTAGATGGCTGGGCCTGTGGCTTTTCTCATGTCTTCTCAGAGCTGTCGTGGTCCAGACCTAGGCAACTTTCTCCCCCGCGCCCCCAGGACAAGTCTAAGGTTTCCACTTGGCTGTGGCTGGCAGCTCCTCTTCCCTCCGGAGGTCAAGCCCAAACGAGAGTAAAGCCCTATGGCCCTAGGTTGCGATCCGAGGCTGCCGGGGAACACAAGGGAAGGCCCGGTGACAGAGCGTGGCTCAGACTTCTGTAATGAGGACGCCCTTCTTGGAACCTGGATGCGTCCTGGAGCGCAGAGCTTTGGCTCCAGACTCAGAATACCTCTACTACTGCCAAGCCGGCTCAGACATCCAACAGGAGGGGCCGCCACTCCATCTCTTGGACTTCCAAGTTTATCTTTTTCATGCTGGACGGGAAGGGGCTTTCCGATCAGTCTGCGAGGGAAGGAAGCATCTTCCACAGGTTCTGGGGGCCTGGGCCTCTCCAGATATAAGAACCTCAGCTACAGGGGAGGGACAGCAGTGGTTTGGTGTCCGGCATAGCCTCGCTGGAAGGGAGCTGAACAGAGGAGGTGGGTGGGAATCAGGGGTCAGTCGCGGGGCCATGACCATTTCTCGAATTCTGTCCAACACTGAAAACCTTGGGGGTTTCAGCTGTGATCGACCCCTCTTTCCCAAGAAGAAAGGCAGAAAGGGAAAGACAGGATTGGCCAACAATCCACTTGGAAGACCTAAGGATAGCCACGGCTCCTTCAAGAGATGCATCAAACAAACCCACAGGTTAGAGGAACCGGGAAGAAGGTCAAGATGGAAGATGATGGCGACCTGTCACACCACGTGTCCCTGGCCAGTTCATAAGGAGACCGAAGTGTGCTTGTTTTTGTCAATATTTCTTGTTCTGCAGATTTATAATCTGTCACTCCTGGCAGCTCACAACATCTATGCTCCCGATATCCCTGTGAAATCCTAAACGAATGAAAGGACCAGGAGTCAGTGATGGTGGGAACTTTCCTCATTCTGACACACGGTTCCTCGCCAGTGCTTCCTGGATCCAGCATCTTGGACAGAGTCCAGGATAGACTGCAGAAACGAGGTAGGGGGCCACCGTGGAGACCCCCCTTTTCTTCCTCCCTAGTGATGTTACTCCTTTCTCAGGAAGTTTCCTGCTGCCCACTTAGCCCACACCAAGGGCCAGACGGCTGACATCCCCCCCGCCCCCGGGGAGTCATTTGTTCCACCTGGGGATGCCCGGCTATTGGGCTGTTATCAGCAGGGCCCCCCTAACAAGACGATTAAGGCTAATTACAAAGAGTCTAATTAACTGGATGTAACGGGTGCTGAAACAATGTCAGGAGGAAACACGTTCTCAGCTCTGGTTGCTGGGAAATGGGCTCTGGACTGTGGCTAACTGGGGGCCACTGACAGCGAGCCCAGGCAATTAGAGACAGCAGGGCAGAGCGAGCGTTCCGCGCCAGCCTCACGTGGGCACACACGCTCTCCCGCTAACAAAGGCCTTTGGGTTTCCCT